GCAGATGTTCTTGGATCTACACCCAGAATACATCTCAAATGCTGGGACTGTGTTTGTTCTAAGACTGTGGTTGAGTAGAGACCCCAAACTTCTGCTCCATACAAGAGCATAGTGGTAACCTTAGCTTTATATACCTTAATTAATGGGGCTAAGGACCCTGGGTAACTATGGTTCTTTAGTTTAAGCAATAGATTCAGGCAGGCTTTTGCTCTAAATGTACTTCGTTGATTATGGCAAAGATCCAGTCTTGGAAAAAGTTACGCCCAGATATACAAAGGTGTTAACCTGTTCAATTGGTTCACCATCTAATTGCCACTTATGTCTCTGATGGTGTCTTCCAAACACCATTATTTTTTATTTAGTTAATTTTTCTTGTGTGGAAGATAAAAATGGCTTGTATCATGGCTTATTTAAGGATCATGTAGCAGAAGTAATTCTGATATGGCATAAAAGCAGTTATCAAAGTAGTTCTGAATCTACTTTCAAACGATAGCTTTAAATTTAAATAATAATATATTTTATTAAATTAGCAACTATTTTTTTTCATTCTTTAGGTTTCTCAATTTCAATTCTTTTTCCCAATACAAACCATTTTAATATATCGAACGTAAGCAGTTCTCACTATTTAAAATTTAAAATATATTAAAAAAAAATATTACAAGCAATCTTCTTATTTCATAAAAAACTAAAGGTGTTACGAGGTTTGGTAAATCCCAAGTTACTTTAGGCTGTTTCTCTGGCTTCATAATGAAAACTAGAATCATTTTTAAATGACTAAAACTGAATAAGGATATCCAAACAATTCTGAATATTTGCAAAAACTTCACAATAATGTTCACACACAGAAACACACACTTTGCTATGCAGTTAAGTATAAGTAGAAAGTACATGCTCATAATTAATATTACTAATATTAAAAGGCAACTGGTTTTTATTAACCCTAACCTAATCTACAGATTTCAAAAGCATTGTAGTAAACAAATCTGGGATATTATTACAAAATAGTAATCTCTACAGATATGGATGGAGATTTGTACAATTTCATATAAAATAGGGCCCCACACTGTGCTCAAGGTATAGTTGTATCTGCTATGTGTGCTTCAGTAGCCCAGCATTGTGTCCTTAAATTAATCAGTAAAGAATGCATAATTTTAATTAGCCAGGATGTTTATTTTAGAAACAGGAAATATCATCCAAAGACCAATCTTATTTCTCCTGGCTTTGTAGCTAAAATGGAAGATAAGGTTAAATCATCTGCACATTAGCCAAAAATTGAAATTACCAATTAAAATGGGGGGGGGACTATAGTAATGATTTGGCACCCTGTAAGTACACAGAAAAAAATAATCACACCTGAAGCATGTAAGTTTGTTCTTCCTTCTAAAGAGCAGAGCAACAACTGTTAAAAGGCATACAGGATTCTCCCAGAAATGCTACTTACATATTCTTTAATATCCTTTGATTTTACAGCTTTGTAAGAGTAATAGGCAGGATAAAGAGTGCCAAATATTAGCCTGAAAGAAAAATGAAAAAAAAAGTCACAGGAAATACCATGGACTGGAGCCAGAACATGATGATTACATTTGATTCTATGAAATCGGTAGCACTTATGATAAGAAACTTGTTCTCTTGATTTTAATGGGATCTAATTCAAATATCTTTGAGTGATTACTTAATTATTTGTTTAATGTTTCTTTCTGAACTGAATTTCGCAGTTGCTCATACAATTTAAAAATTTAAATACACATTTAAAATCTACCTTCCCGGTTAAAATACAGATTGACAACAAGATCATGCCTCCCATCTACTTAAACCACCAGTACCTTATTTCTTTTTTTCTCATTTTTTAAATTTTATTTTAACAATTTAAATTTTATTTTTTAATGTTTACCCCCCAAAAATTACAAAAACTGCAAAATTGAAAAAACAGGGAAAGAAATATATGAAAAACAATAAAAATACAGCTACCCAACTTAGCAATAACAACAAAAGAACAACAGAAATAGTTGGACAACCAAAATGACTTCTCTGCAAAATTCCTATTCTGGAGAATCTTTCACAACTGAAAAGATAAATTAATAGCCTCAATTACTCAATGATTTGAAATCTGATGTGTGGGATTGCAAAATCCCGGGGTCCTGCGCCTGCAGGATGAACTTATTCCTCTCCAGAGGAATGGACTGGTGATGTACGTTGAACACCATCAACGGACCTCGCTCAGATAGAGAAACACACGGACAACATGTTTCTTCAGGTGAGATGGCAGGCGAGAGCCTCGAAAAGCCTCTGTGCCTCTCTTTTATTGGTCTATANATTCAGCTGCTTCTCCCTCTAGGTTGGATGCAAATACGTCGACCATGGCACCTGGGTCCGGATAATGGTAGGCCCAACGGTTCAAGTGAGAGCGCCCTTGGTTAAGAAAAAAAATCAGCTTCTCTGGGTCTCCATCGAAGGTTGCCTTGAAAGCTGGTTGGAAAACAGGCCGTTGTGGCCCCCACTGGGGCTGTTGCTGTGGGTCCCACCCCGGTTGCTGGTCCCATGGCTGCTGGGCTCCCTGCTGTTGATGTGGTGCTCCCAGTTGCTGTTGGCCCCATCCTGCTTGCCCATCGAATGGTTGGTGGCTTCTCTGCTGCTGGGCCACGGGGGTTGGTAGTGCCCCCTGTTGCTGCAGGCCTCCCAATGGTGACTGTGCATGCTGGGCCCCTCTAATCTGAAAGCTCACCGGCTGTAGTTTTGCAAGGGTGGGGCTGGGGGCCTCTCTCCACAGGAGCTGCCCTCCGCTTCGCACTTCTAATTCCTCACATCTCTTTGCCAGGCAGTCTAATGACCCACTGTGAACTGCAGGTGGGTATTTCCACTCGCCCGAGTTTTCAGTGATAGATGGCTGGTGGGGGGGTGAAGGCAATCTGTAAGAATTCCTTAATTGTGACTCACGTTCATTTATTGGCAACGTTGTCTGGTTTACAGCACAGTTTTCGCTTATCACTTCTTCATCCAGTTTTGGCCTCGCTCCCAGCTGGGAAATCTGCCAGATTCTTCTTTCGCCCGGCTCGCCGCTCTTTGATTCCCTCCCCGGGAAATCTGCTGCAGTCAAAAAGCTGGCTTCAGACACTTTTTTTTTCTGCATTTTCATCTTCGCCGAGTCTTTTCCAGAACCCTCAAAATTAGAGGGAGTGGGTGGGGCTCGAGACCCCAGATTGTTGTAAAAGGAGAGGAGTTCTAAGCATAATGTCATGTGTCTGAGTAATGAAACACTTAAAAGGACTTTCAGGCATGTTTTCTCCTAAAAGCTTTTATTAATGTTAAAATATATCAGCACGGCATGGAGGAATGCTTAGAACTGCTTATCTTCCGGTACGCCTAGCATTCCAGACATTGTCCACTCCCTTATTGTAGGGTCATGGTTCACATCTTCCAATCAACTTGAAAGATGTGATTTACTTCCGGTTTCTTTCTCCCGGGCTATCCCTATGCTCCTCCCTCTCTCCTAGTTGCTGGTTTAACTATATA